ATTAATAGAGCTTCCTTTTGTCTCACAAGAATTCCTGTTTTACAAGATAAGTTACCTTAACTAGAACAATCATATGAATATTCCCAACCAAACTCATTAAACCCCCCCTCCCTCATTCCCAGACCTGCTCCACATTCTCTTAGGATCTCCATCTTGAAAGATGCCCCTCATTCGCCAGCTGCCCACGAGTCTCTTTTCTAACCCTCTGTCTACTAAAGCAGTTGCCAAGCCCTACCCCGTTAGCCCCCAGAAGGTCTTGCAAATGTATCCTCTCCTCACCTTTCCACTATAGTTTAGATTGGGGTGAGTTTAGATTGGGGTGGAGGCACAAAATCACAGTCCTACCTGTGCCAGGCAGGTACGTGAACCTAGGGGGTGAGTATAAGCACGTGAGCCTCTCTGCCCATCCTTTGTTTTCAAACTATTGATAGAGATTTGAGTTCAGTAAATGTTTCATTTTCCTGCTGATTTTCTCGAAGTTAAAAAAAGAAAAGAAAAGAAAAGGCCCCAAAGCAGTGATAAATGGCATTGACATTTCACCTTAGTGACCAGAGTAACAGGTAGCAGTGGGGTCAGTGGCTGGCTCCAGCCAGGTGACGGTTGCCCTGCAGGAAGGTGGGCTGCTAAAGCCAGATCTTAGGATTTTTCAAAAGAAGCTGGAAATCAGGATGATTATGATGTGAAATCTCCCAATTCATAAATGTTGGTTGAAGAGTACTGCATGGGCCAAATAAAACATCTGCAGCCACTTGGAGCCCACAGGCTGTTGGTTTTAAGCCTCTGGTTTGACCCTCACCTGCACTTGTCTAGACGACTGCAGTAGTCCTGGGCATCCCGCCCTTCTGCTGCAGCCTCCGCACTGCCTCCGGCTTTTCTCTCCCAGTGGCAGATCTCGTCACCCAAGAGCGCTTTCTGAACAGGTCTTTGCTCTCTGCAGAACGAAGTGCACATTCCTTAACGTTGGCTTCAAGGTCTTTCTTTCGCCGTCTAACTCAGCCCCTCTCTCCAGCTGCGTCTCCTAACACCCCGTGCGCACCTTGGCTGTGCTCCTCACACAGGGCCACTCGCTCGCTCTCGAGCAGTGCCAGTGTTTTTTTTTAATTAATCGACTATTTTTTCTGAACAATTTTAGATTTACAGAAAAATTGAGCTGGTAGTACAGAGAATTCTCATGTATTCCTCCTCTCCCTGACTCCTCCCCACAATTTTCTCTTACTATGATTATCTTGCAGTAGTGTGGTATGGTTGTTACAATTCATGAAGCAATATTGACACATTATTATATTTTTTTAAATTTATTTTTAGCGTACTATGGGGTACAAGTGTTAAGGTTACATATATTGCCCATGCCCTCCTCCCCCCTCGAGTAAGAGCTTCAAGCATGTCCATCCCCCAAACGTTGCACATCTTACTCGTTGTTGACACATTATTATTAACTAAAGTCTATAGTTTAGATGAAGATTTATTCTTTTTGTTGACAATATCAATATTTTAATACTGTTTACATTTTAAAAAAAATCTTTCCTCTGTTTATATAATCTTCCTTCCATTTTGGCAAGAAATTCTTTGCAAGGCCAAATATGACTATCACTCTTTCTTCAAAGCCTTCTCTGCTTATTTTTGGAATGGAGCTGGAAGGGAGGGAACAGACAAAACACAAAAGAGAACCAACATTTTTAACAGATGCCTAGTGTATACCAAGTAGTTTATGTATTCTTTTAAATCTCTCTACAGTCATACAAAATAGATATTATAGACCATTTACCCTGGGGAAACAGAGGCTAAGTTGTCCAAAGCCCCACAGTTGTTAACTGGTTTACACCCATATCTAACTAGCTCCAAAGTCTGTGCTCTTCTACTCTCTCCCAATGTGGCTGGATTCTCACCACTAATCTAGCCTTCCTGCTTTCCCCATCAGATTAAGAATCCACTGGAGTAAGGAGTGCAGTGTTATTCAGCTCTGTCTCCACTCTGAACACATTAGTCGGTACTTTCTGTAGCTCATTGAACCCATAGGAATGTTTCCTAAAGGAGTGAATATAGGAAGAGGCACCAAATATTGACTTCAGTCTATTTGGCAAATGCTTGTCGAGTTCCTACTACACACCAGACTTCTTGTTGGGTGAGGTCAAGCATAAAAGGGAAAGCGATGGTGATGCTACCATGCAGGTTATCAATCATAGGCCCAGGCAGGGGCAGGGAAGCTATTGATTTCCCATTTATCCACAACTAGAATGTAAACTACAGGAAAAGAGGGGCTTATTTTAGTCTCTGTTGCAGCTCCTAGGACAGTGCCTGGTGATAAGAATTGTTTAATAAATATTTGTTGTCTGAATGTTTGAATCCTGTTGCAAATTTGGGACACCTAAATGACACTATATTTTTCAGAGTTTTCATGTGTGTTCAGTTAATCATCCTCCTGGGTCTGGCAGCTTTGGTTTCTATGTGCTTGGTTCAATACAGCCCTGTATTACAGGCTGCTTCCAAACTATCCCGGGCCTGGGCCTCACTACTTTCTTAGCCCAGAAGTTCTTTTGGACCAGAACTTTAGGAAAATGGGACAGGGAAGAGGAGGAGGAGTTGCCTTGCCCCTGCCATCCTTTGAGAGCTGATAGACAAATGACCCTTGGGAGCTGCCTGGAGCTCCTGGGCCTAACCTTAGATCATATTTCCAGAGGGTTCGGCCTGAGGCCTGGACCTCGCGCCAAAGGATGGCCTCTTTTTTTTTTTTTTTTTTTGATCCCGGCACTCAAAATGTCATGTGAGGGTAGTTATGTATTTAAATATTTTCATTAATTTTCTTAAGGAAAAAATGTTATCTCAAAAACATTAACCTATTTCATGTATTTGCCGACTAAACTTTTCTTTCTCTCCCCTCCCCTCTGTCTTCTCTTCTCCTCTTTCCCTGCTGAATTTTTTCCTTGACTTCTCTGACCCTGTCTTTCATCTGTATTGCTCTGTCTCTTCAACGTGCTTATTTCCACCAAGGTTCTTCTAAGTATACCTCTCTCTCTCCATTTGTTCCAAGTAAATAGATCACTCTCCATTCCTGGTGAATAGTCAGGATCACAACTGTTGTCTGGTTTTTGCCCAAGGTGACAGAATTGATGAACCTGTAGGCTGATTTTCATAAACCAGAGCTACCAAGCGTTTCAAAAACAGTGTTGTTTTTGCCAAGTAAGGTGAGCAAATATAGGACTAAGTTTAAACATCCATCAGGAGTTATTTTTGAAGTGATTGCTTCTAAATTAGAAGCATTTGAAAATCTCACAGTTTTCTTTACAAGTAAATTCCAAAGCCATGTATTTTCCTGGTGTCTGCTGATTAATTACAATCCTGTGACACCATGAAAAACCCTGGTGGTTGGTTTTGTGCAGCTGTGGAGAAAAGTAAAGCAGGGCCCAGTGACTTTGCCAGCTCTTTCAGGACAGTGGGGATTCAGGCTGAGGGAGGTATTTTTTCCCTCTGGCAGTCACCACATGAGAACAGAAGCCCCAGCCAGAGCCATTTCTCCAGACTTCATGAGGGGGTGTGGTGAAGGAGTGACATTTGATCTGTTGCTTCTGAAATAACAGATCCATTATTAGAAAAAACATTTTCAGTCTCCACATCAGGACTTGTGTGCATTCTCCTATATATATAGTTACTTCTGTTTAGAAAGAAAGAAAAAAAAAAGCAGCAGTTACATACAGCAAAGTAATCAAAATTTATTTTGATTCTCTAAACAGAAGGTGCTCAGCATGTATGTGTTGTTGGTGATTGCAGACGTCCGACCCAGTAAAATCTGCCAGTTCATCCATTTAGGGTCTGATGACTCTGAATCGATTTTATCTGGCCTCTTACATTTTCTCATTATCCCTTTCCATATCTAACTCCAGTTATTTCACTGCTATAAGCCTCTTGTTGACAGGACAGAAAGAGAAGAAGTTGAGTCTGTTTGCTTAGAGAGAATTTTCTGCAGCTCTAGGGAAGGGTACAATAGGGAAAGAAAACAAATATTTTTAAAAAATAGACTTTTAAAGATCTTGGTATGTTTATCTGTACTTGCTCTGCTCCACTCACCTCTTCCCTTTGATTTAGATAAGGGGACCCATGACTGAAGTATTGCTTGGACATGCATCTTTCTCCTTGGCAATGGCTAAGGTCAAAGGAACTCATCTGTGCCCTCGTCGTCTTTCTCTTTTTGCTGCAGGTCCATACTCGTCACAGAAGCCTTGTGGATGTCACTGCTGAATATGAATCCAACACAAACACACACACTTGCACACAGCCTGTGTCACTAGTCTGCTGGAACTGTAGCCTTCATTCTAAATATAGGCAGCTAGAGAGAGAACAGGATCTACTTTTCCCTGTTTAATTCTAGTACTGCACTTAATTCTAGTATATAATGTCATGTGAGAGAGTGGGACATGTCTGCATTGCTGCCTTCACTCCTGACATCCGAGGGAAGATCTGATAAAAAGAAATCTAGCCTAGTTACAAAGATCACTACCCAATATTTGCAAAGGCAAGAATGAGTTTGGCCTGCTTATTTAGCCAGCACTGTTCTGATGAACCCAGACATGTAAACCAATTTAGACTCTCAGACAACTTATTTTTCCTATGGTAAGACTTTGATTTTAAAAGGCACATTTTGTTTTCATATGAGATGACTGACATAAAGATGTTTGCATTTGTTTGCTGAAATCAATTTATAGATTGTTTATAACTAATAAGCTCTTGTAGCAAATAATTGTTTGGTCACAGAGTAGTCACTGATTTTTGGAATTGTGCAATTTGAAACCTAGAGCACAGGTATGGATTAAAGATGTAGGTTTTTTACCACTGCCACATCCTCCAAAACCAACATTCTTTTCTACAAAGAGAGCAGAGCCACATTCTGCAGGTGTCTGTTTTCTTTGAGGAGAATATTTTGAGGAAACCTAAAAGGGAGGAACTAAGCATTTAGGAAAAATATATTTTCACAGCAGGATATTGTTTTTTCTCTTTTTTTGGTTTAGGTTTTCCATTTGTTACAAGCTTACTCAGACTCCAGACACAGAACGAATTCAGACTTTCAGCACGAGCTGACTGACATCACTGTTTGTACCAAAGCCAAACTCTGGCTGGCTAAGAGGTATGTTAAAACCCCACATGAGCAAGGAGTTATCAGGGGTTAGGAATACATTTTAGAATTGCTGTTTCAAGTTGTGGGGAGTTTTAAAAGTCATTGGCATGAGTTTTCTAAACTTATTGGAGTATTTATCCTTTTAGAACTTTGGGTTGTGGTAAAGAAAGAAAAATATTTTTTCGACAATTTTTCTAAAACTGCTGAGTGACTGAGGGGCAGGCATACAATACAGCTTTTTATCTGCCCACCAGTCAGCTTGTTTTTATTAATACCTGCTATGTGCCCAGTCCTGTGTTAGGTAATGTAACAATGAAAAGCAGTAATTGGCTAAGTCATGTGGTACAAACTCTTAGGTGCCATCACAACTCAGAGATTAGAGATTGGTGTAAAATTAGAACAGGCTCTGAGAGCAGGTAGGGCTTCAATAGGAAGAGGGGGTGGAAGTTGCCATTCTTAGGTGGGTAGTAAGGTAGCTTGAGGAAGCAAGGCAAAGAAGGGTAGAAACATTTTTTTTTTCATCCTTGGCATGGTTAATTTACTCTGGAACTTAGAACATTTACTACATGAAATTTGGGGTAAAAAGAATTTCATATTTATTATACGGAGAGTCCTCTCTGTAATACTGTGTTCAAAATCTGTGTTGTGGGGCTTTGATAATGCTAGGACAGAGCTCCCTGTGTGTCCTCTGTAAGTTCCAGCAGAGTAGGTCCAGAAGAGGCCCACGTGCTACTACATTCCATGCCATAACATACACATTGGATTAATAGTCGGTATATTGGTTGCGTAATGCAGGAGCCTCTCTTTTTTATTTTTATTTTTTAAAAATGTACATTTGTTTAGTTCTGTTGGGCTCCCCACCTTACATGACCAGTCAAGTAATGGGCAGTGTGAGGCTCTCAAATTAGTTTAATTCAACAAAGTATTGTTGAGCACAGGCTATGTGCCAGCCTTTGTATTAGGAGATGTGGGCATACAAAGATATGGAAGAGCTAGTCCTGGCTTGAAGGACTTCCAGGAGGTGAGAAACATGTGTAAATAAAGAATTTTCATCCAGCATGTTAAGTGTAATAGTGAATGTATGCAGTAGGTACAGGGGTAGACCAGAAGATTAGCAGGGGAGGGCTAACGTCTAACCAGCCATCGAGATGAGTAGGATTTTCCCAAGTGGCCAAGATAGGAAGGGAATTGCAGGCTTAAGCAGTAGTGTAGGCAGAGACATGGCAGTATGAAATGGCATGGTAGATTTGGAGAACTATAAGAAAGTTGGCATTTCTAGAACCTAAAGTATAAGGCACATGTGGCAGAGATGAGGCAGAGGAAATATGCAGAGGCCACACAGTGCAAGCTCCTAAAGGAAACGTTTCAATGAAGGGGGGCAGTGGTGGATCTCCCAGCATGTGTGTCTCAGCTATGTCAGCACTGATAGCTTTGAACAGGGATATTGATGGAGAAATTCTCTAGTATCTGAAATGCCCATGAAGTTATGGTGAAGCTCTCATTTTAAATCTCATTTTTGTTTTCTCCATTTTATTTAGAGAGTAGGAGTTGCTTGTCCATAAACGATTTCCCTGAGCCTATACCATTTGCCTTCTGCGTGGTTCTTAGACAGCTTCCCAAGACATATTTCTGGAGAGAACAGGAACTTGTGATCACATGTGTACTCTCAGCTGTTTACCAGTGAATAGGCCAGCTCCTCCTAGCTATTATTTCTGGGGATCAGGAAGTGAGGGTTCTCCAAAAATCATCCTGTTGAAACCCTGCTTTCCAGCCAAGACTACTATAAGAATTCTAACTCTCCAGTTCTTAAAGTGCTGTAAGGAAGGCCCCTTAGCTTGCTGCTCCTTCATGAGTCTCACAGAAAGTCATTACCCACTGAGCTCCAGAGTCTGTTCCTCTTTGTTGGATGGAATGGAGGAGATGGAATGACAGCCCAGCCATTGAATGGACCGTCATGTGCTACAGTGCCTGAAGATGGCTGAAGAAGCTGCCATCAGCTTCCTCTTCAACTAGAGATATCCTGCTGACCTTGTTTTTAACCCTTCCTGTGGTTCCTAGTACTGTTTTCTAATTAGGCTGTTCATACTTCTTCCCCCTCACCTCCCTGCCCCAATTCTCTGATTTTTTTTTATGATTTTCCAGCCCTAGAAAACAAAGGCATGAATCACTGCAATTCACCGGGTTTCCACCTTCCTTGCCCAGAGTCTAGGAAAGCCACTTTTCTGTTTCCAGCACAGTCAACTCTCTATTATCCAAGTGTGAACTTTCCACTTCGTGGGTGGTGTGTAGATGGTTCCTAATACCAGGCTTCCTTTTGCACCCCAACACACTTTTACAAGTATTAATCAGGATGTGTTCAGAGCCTGGAATAGAGTTTAGAAGGAAAACATACTGCCAAAGCACAGTGCATTCATTCCAAAACTATGTATCAGTTTTTCTTTATTATCCATAGCATTGACAGGATAACCTTGACATTCCTGAATAGGAAATTGTAGAATTGGGTGTAAGCGATGAAACCTCGGCCTGCCACGTGTCTGCCCTGTCCCTGAGGTCCTCTTGCTCCAGGGTATATTTGTCTACACTAGTTAACTCCATGCTCAGATGAACCTACTCTGGATCCTAAGAGTCCCTTCTCTAAGCAGACCCTGCTTTCACTCTCTCACTTGCTTTTCCCATGAAGATGTTATGATACAGAGGGTTCCAAATTCAGCTGCTGAAGAGGCTTCTTTATGTCCCAGATAATTTACACATGAGAGAGGAATAAATGTTCCTTTGAACCTACTAAGAATTTTCTGTATCTTTTGAGTATAAGCTATGAAAAATTAATGTTACTACAAAAAAAATGTTGGCTTAAATTTTAGCACCAACACCTTTTTCCTTCTATAATTTATTTGATCATTAGCCTGAGTTCATTCTGTCCAATAAGTACAAAAATGTTAGTGGATGTGTCATTTATTTGTCCTTTTGTTCCAAAAGAAGGTTTAAAAAAAATTCACTGGAACCATTAGATAACCAATTCAGGTTTTCAGTTTTGACCCTAAAACTGAGGGCACATAAATGAAGAAACTTTTGTCATATATTTGTGTTTTGACTTTGCAAGATTAATAAGGATTTATATGAGGTGATTAAGCAATAACCATGGAGTTGTTGGGGAATTTTTGGTGATGAATGGTTAGCTGGCAGCATGGCCTGAGCGGGGGACTGGGCTTCTGCTCACACAGGCTGCTTCTCATTCCAAGACGTCAAACCCTTGTGGAAATCAGCTCATTAATCCTTCAAGTCCCTTCCTTCCCCTTTTCCCTCCATCCCTCCTTGATCCAGTTCACTGTCTCTCATGATGCTAAGGCAGTTTACCAACCACTGAAGGAAAACTAAACTGACCCAGGCCAGGAATGGAGTAAGAATAGGAGTCCGCCTCTGTCCTGGAAAGGCTGGCTGTGGGTGCCATGAAAGAGGATCTGGGGTAGTCCCAGATTGCTGCCCAGTCTACCACGCTTGCTATTTGCAGATTCTATCTCTGGATCACTTATTCACTTTGGTTGAGAGTTGTAATTGCTATTACATTGGGCTTAAAATTTTTCAGAAATGAATTTGGTTATCTCCTTTTGAAAAAAAAGTTTTTTTTTTTTTTGAGACAGAGTCTCGCTCTGTTGCATGGGTGAGTGCAGTGGCATCAGCCTAGCTCACAGGAACCTCCAACTCCTGGGCTCAAGCCATCCTTCTGCCTCAGCCTCCCTAGTAGCTGGGACTACAGGCATGCGCCACCATGCCCAGCTAATTTTTTCTATATATATTTAGTTGTTTAATTAATTTCTTCCTATTTTTAGTAGAGATGAGGTCTTGTTCTTGCTCAAGCTGGTCTCAAACTCCTGACCTTGAGCCATCCGCCCACCTCGGCCTCCCAGAGTGCTAGGATTACAGGCGTGAGCCACCACACCTGGCTGGTTATCTCCTTCTTTGGTTATAAAGGGGGTAGGGGACGTGTGTGTGTGTGTGTGTGTGTGTGTGTGTGTGTTCCTTTTAGCAAACTTAGTGCACTAAATGGACTATTCAAATTAAGTGCAATGGATGATGTGATGACCAGAAAGAAAAATATGTCTTACTAAAATTTTTTTCACCTTTTTTCTTGATTGTGAATGTAGTATGGTTTATCATAGAAAATCAGTCAAGTACAAAATTTGGAAAACAGGAGAATAAAGTCTAGTCTTACCATAATCCAGCGGAAATCACTATTACTGGTTAACAGTTATATGTAGTTACTTCATCTTTTTTCCTTTTTATTTTTTGCTTTTTTTATCCTGTCGAAGTCATAATATATATATATATATATATATGCACACATATGTTATAGCTTTCATTTTTCACTTGATTGTATCACAAAAGCATTTGCTATCTTTATTATGAAAAGCTACTTATGGTACAACTACTGTGGAAAACAGTATGGGGTTTCCTCAAAAAATTGAAAATAGAATTACTATATAATCCAGCAATTCCACTTCTGAGTACATACCCAAAAGAATTTAAAGCAGAGTCTGACATAGATATTTGTACAACCATGAGCATGGCAGCATTATTCATGATAGCTAAAACATGAAAACAACTCAATTGTTCTTTGAGGAATGATGAATGAATAAACAAAACGTGCTGTGTACATACACTGGAATATTATTTAGCCTTTAAAAGGAAGGAAATTCTGACAAATGCTACAACATGGATGAATCTTGAGGGTATTATCTAAGTGAAGTAATACAGTCACAAAAAGATAAATACCATATGATTCCAGTTATAGAAGTTATGCAGAGTAGTCAAATTCATAGAGATAGAAAGTAGAATGGTGGTTCCTAGGGGCTAGGGGAAGGAGGAAATGGAGAGTTGTTTAATGGGTATAGAGTTTTAGTTTACAAGATGAAAAGAGTTCTAGAGATTGCTTGCACAGCAGTGTGAATATACTTAACACTACTGAACTATATACCTAAAAATGGTTGAAATGATACATTTATATTATGTAT